GTGCTGTTTGTGAGGGGTGGCTCTTGATAATGGAAAAGAACATGAAAACTACCACATGTCAATGTTATGATAGGGTGTATATTGGGCTTAGAGAAAGGGGTGTATACCCAATAATGTAGAATCAAACGGAAGAGACAGTGGAAAATAACATGGAAACTGAGAGGATGTGGTGGTTTATAGGGGTTAGGATTTCCCAAAATTAAGGGTCCTTTTTTGGGGGGTCCCTAGAATAAGGACTGTTGCATTTTTGGGTGTATGCTGCGTTCCTCCTATTTCAGCAAACTACATGAATGAAACTACAAATATTTTTCTCATGCACAGAAGCCTTCTATCGCAACTTCACCCTTGGTATGAACCAGAAACCAGAAACTAAGTAGAAAGAACTCGGCAGGTGACGCCAAGCGTTTCGGGCTGCACTCAGGGTTCTACCCGGGACTGTCTCACGAATGCTTCTCGAAGAAGCTCCCAGCGGCGGCAACAGACGAAGCGTTGGCGCCAGGAGAGGGCTTCTAAATGCTTTGGACACCCAGTAAATTTAGTGCCAGGGAAGCCGGCTGTTTCAAAAAGCCAGGAAAAGCTGCAAGCATTTTTGCGCGAATACCGCTTCTCTGACGCTTCTGAGCCAAGCACTTGCACTGCCTGGTCTTGCTTGAAGTTGGCGTTCCTGGGTCCTGTTGAATGTTTGTGGTTCGATTGTAGCATTGACAATGAAGTAATGTCGGCTCATGGCTGCATTAGCGTAGGCTAGCAAACAAATGTTACACGCCCAGACTAGCCTCCAACATGCTGGAGGAGGCTAACTTGACATGATGAAGGTACTGCTCTGACAAATGGAGTCAACTTGATACTTGTATCGTATCATGGGCTTTCGCATTTTCAGGAATCTGCAGAAGCGCAGCAACGGTACACGGGCCAAATTACTATTAAGACCCGGAATTTCACTCAGGTTTGGCGGAGAGACGCTCTACCCCATTCACGTCGCTGCCCGCCTCGGCAACCCCGAGATTGTGTGCTTCGGCTCGTAGATCTCAGTGCATTTTTGCTGGAGAGCCCATGACACCACACCCTTGACCGTGTGTCAAGAACAGGCAATTAAGTAAAAGGCCTTCGCCTGCTAAGAGATTTTGCAGCCCAGGCGCTTGCTCCTTCAAGCGCGGGCCGATCCGGATCAGAAGACGTCTTTGGGTCGCACTGCAGAGGCGGTGGCCAAACAAGCAGATGCGTTTGGCTCTCACAAGGAGGTTGTGGACATGCTGCGAGGGGGCCTCAAGGTCCTAGGCCTTCGCGAGGCCGTATCGCTGATGCATGATGAGAATCAGAAGAACCCGAAGATGTAAATTGCAGTTGTAGAACATTATGCTTCGGGGTGCAAGCCCTAAGGCAGCTCCCCTAGCTGGATCGCTGTCAGCTGCCAACAACTTCCTGATTGCCTAGTGCCATCCACAGAACACACTCCTGATTAAAGCGATCTCCCATCCATGCTCTGACAATCTCCCCAATAGCTTGGAGTTTCTCAAAACGAGTACCTCCTCTGCTAAGTTCCGGGCGGTCTACGCGGCACATGCCAGATAGTTACTGCAGATGCGCAAGAGCCCAACTCCCACATGGAAGCCGATTTGAGGAAACTTCGGCAGGTATGTTAGGTGGTAGCAGGCTTCATAACCGGCGTTCTTCTTGGCGACTTCGCAATTCTGACCAGTGACACTCATGCATTGAGAACGTGGCTTTGCCTCACGGACCCTTCTATAGAGCACTGGAGCTTGTCAGCATTGTCAATATGCTAGAGGCCTACTTCGAACCCTCCCAGCTCTCCAGGAAGACAAGAGTCGGCTCATCACGCTCCACAATGGATGTAATGCAAATTGGTCTATCCATGTTGGTGGGCATTGTGCGCCTCCTGCATGCATTTGCTACGGCATGCGCCCCCTGTCTTCCACTGGACTGCCCATTAATTGTCCGATTTCCGAATTGTAGGTGTGCACCTCATGACTCATCACTCTAGCAGTTGTCACCAGTTTGACGCCTTTGGGGTCAGGACGTGCGGGCATATTGGCAAGGCCGTTTGCCAGCGTGGTCCTTGAATTTTGCATTCCCCCCGGAGCGCAGGAGGCTGCTGCTAGTGCTCGGCTCGACTGCTTTTTTTTGAAGCCAAATCTGGCACAAGTTCCTTGCAAATCATTCTTGAGGAATTTCAGGGATTGCAATGCTGCAAAGCAATGATGTGCCATGATCAGCAAGGTATCAATGGTTTCGTTCCCGTCTTTGCAACCCCTGGGCCGGTCCCGTCGGGACAAGATGTGCCCATCAGTATCTGGCCTGGCTTGATGCCACATGCATGATTTTTTTTGGAATTTCGTTATAGAGCTTACACAGGTTGTCTGCCAGACATGGCTGACCATGTTTGCCGGCTCTGTAATAATTTGGGTAGAGCGCGGAGAAGAACAGTCTTGCATGGATGCCTTCGACTTCACTTAGTCCTTTTGCAAGAGACTAGACTGAAGGCGCAACTAGAGTTGGCAAAGAGTCTGATTTCAGAGTGACTCCTCACTCCTGCGCAGGGTGAATGCTTCCATGCAGACCTTTCTGGTTGTGCCTAAGCCATGACCAGTGACCATAGTATGACCACCTGGCCATTCAGAGAAGACAGAGAAGTTGCTGCAGTGCTTCGGTCACATATCAAGGCAAGGCCGCGCATGTGTTTTAAGAGCCTGCCCAGAGTTTTGAAGGATTGGAAGTCAATCTGGGGTGCTTGCTCGCTCTCCTAGCCTCACCCAAGCTTGCCGTGCATTGCCCTTCGGGAGAGTGAGGAGAGCAAGCTATCTGAAGGAATAAGCTTGTACAGACTGCAGGCACCTTGCAAGACCCAAAACTAAAACTTGGGAGTCTTGCAGTACATGCATTCAAAGCGGGGCATGACTACCCGGCCCACCAGGATTGCAGCTTCTGGAGTGTTTTGTGCTACCTGGCAAAGACAAAACCTGCAGCGCATGGTCAAAGAAAGGGGCTTTCCGGCCCAAATGCTGACAGCCCCTCAATGCTTCCTGCAGTCTTGCTTGGCTTGCGCAAGTGAGCAACCTTTCTCATCCCATTCTGCCTGTTGCCATCTGCTGCCGCGCAGGTCAAATGTATTCATGAAAACCCCTGAACAAGTGGGCAATCACCCCTGGCGTCATTTCACCACTCAAATGACTGATATGTCCAAGCCTGGTACCGGGAGCAGAAGTGCAGCCTATGATGATGCCACATGATGGCATCGCAGGCATCAGCATCATGTTGGCCGAGCTCCCAGCGCCCGCCAAGCCGCCCCTCATCATCATTATCCTTGTCCTGTTACTGTAGCCTAGATACTGCAGTTGTTACGTACTACCTTGTTCGAAAGCTGCACAAGGGGCGGACGGAGCTTGTTTGTCAGCCAGATAGAAACCTTTACCGGGAACTGAATTTGTAGTTGCATAGAGGGAAGCCATTTTTCCGGAAACCACAAAAATGGGGTCAGAAACTAACCTTCATGGGAAACGTTAGTTCCGCTTACTACACTAAGGTTTCCGTTAGTTGCGAGTTTGTTGTTTAGCCGGAGACAAGCATTTTCGCGACAATTTAGTCTTGCGCACTAAGCTAAGGTTTCTGGAATAGGTTAGTACGTTTCATCAAATTTTCCAAAAACCTTTACTGGGGTCAGAAAGAGGGGCTGATGGCAAGTGTTAGTTTCGCACCAAACCAGGGTCCGTGTGACAAGGGTTGTGGGGTGCGCGTTCGTGTGACGGGGAGTTTGGGGCGCACGTATCCTGATACCCCCAGATTGGTCCAACCACAAATCAACCACAAATCTCCGAACCATGTGAGCGTACAAAACCTGCAGCCCCAAATCCGATCCAAGATCCCCGGACCCCATCACCTTACGCAATCTGAAGCCAAATCCCACCCAAAAATCCCCGAACACTATCAGCGTATGCAGCCTGCAATCTCCCAAAGCCATCAGCGAGCGCAACCTGCGACCCCAAATACAAGTCGCAATATCCCACTCTCTAAAGCCACCCAACCCCATCAGCGTACGCCAGCTGCAACCACGAATCCCATCCAAAAGCCTCCAAGTGCATCAGTGCAAGCAACCTGCGACAAACCTCACCCTAAAATCGTCGAACCCCATCAGCACACGCAACCTGCCACCCCAAATCCCACCCAAAACCTTCCCAGTCCAGCAGCGTAAGCAACCCAGACCCCAAATCCCACTCAAAAGTCACTCAACGCCGCCAACGTACGCAACCAGCAACCCCAAATCGCACCCTAAAATCGTCCATCACCCCCTCCCATTTCGGCTCGAAAAGGGGGTGGAAATCAGCTTTTCGAGCTAACAAACACATCTGTTCAACGTTTCCGTAAAACCCTGTTTGCACCAGTAAAAAAGCCATTCCGGGAAACCGTAGTTTCTGCCCAGAAACGGTTCCGGAAACCTTAGTTTCAGCCCCAAAACAAATGTCCACCCCCGCCTCCACCCCCCTCCCCCCTTTCAGGTTTCGAAATAAAAGTTGGTAGTGCGGAAACAAACATCTCAGCCTAAAGTTAGTGTCTTATAAGAACAAACTTTTCGCCTTCGCCATTTGTCGAAAGCTGGAGCGGTGAAAGTAGCAGGTTCTGCATGGACTATGCAGGGCAAGGTTTGGAGGACCCACGAACCTCTGTTTAGCTTAGGCATGCGAGCTTGGAGGATCTTCCTCTGCCAGAGAAGCCAGAAGCATTCAGCTGCGAGACAGAGATGGCCTGGGATTTTGGCCAGGAGATGAGGTCCATTCCGGATGAGCCTTTGAACTTGTGAGCAGTACTTTTCAAGTAATACCTGTTGAGCCCCCTTCAGGGGTGACCATTCGAAAGGGGAAGCATTTAAGTCCTGTCAGGGATGCCCTGAGGCAATGGAGAATACTCAAGTATAGCTTTTTCGGGCCCCTGTGGGATCCCTCTCATAGTATGAGAGGCTTTAAGCGCACCTTGCACGAATGAGGCCAACCTGATAGTCTGATGTAGCCCCTGCATTCCTCAGAACCTTGATGGAAGCGCTGAACCGTAGACGAATGTGGGAGAATAGTGCGGTAGCAGCGGAAAAGGTCAAAGTCTTCGGGGCAGCAAGGAAGCAATACGTACATTCAAACAATTACAACATGCAATGTTGAACGAACATCTTCCAAGCAAGACAATGCAGTGCAGATACAGTCTTGAATTGAGCTTTGAAAAGCACACCATCCCGCATACATTTACATACTATTACTAGTACCATCACTATCAAATTGCTGTTGTTAAATTACTCTGGCTAATAAAAGAGAGAGAGAGAGAGAGAGCCCTACAGTCGCGCGGATCAAAGTTCCTTCTGGATAAACGTGCGTCGGGTCATGCACGTAATGCGTGATGCGTGTGGGTGTGTGGAAGGTGGATCTTCTAAACTCCATGTGTGGATGTGGGTGTGTGGGGATAGTGGTTTTCGTGACTCTCCCAATGCTCCTTTGGTCCCATCGAAAACGGGGGCTCCTCGAGATCCCTTTGGGTGTCCGGGTAGAATCATAATCCCCATGCTTCCTGGAAGGCTTTCTGGGAGGCCTCGGGCAAAACAAGCGGGTTCGAATGCAACTCGTCTGTTTTGAGCCTGGGTGCACTGATGCTCTCCCAACTTTCTGAGCATCCGGGACAGGCTCTGGAATTTTGGCATATCAAACAGGCATATGCCTATGTTGGATCATGGGCTGACTTTGTTGGTGTCTATTTATTGTTCAAAGGCATGTCCAGGGTATGGGATTAGGAGTTTGGGCCACTTTGCCATTTGACTGGCAGTTGGAGTAAGGGGTGAGGCGTGCGTGGTGGGGTGGGATGGGCTGGGTGGACTGGGGTGTGCTGGGGTGGGGAGGTGGGGGGGCGGTGGAGAGGACAAGTAACATTATGACAGGCTCGCATCCGCAGGCCATGAAGAAGATCAAGCGTCACGTCTTCACATTCATGCAAGTCGTCATTAAAAGATTGCTGAGACGACGACCACTACCACCACGACTACCACCACCACCGCCGCCGCCGCCGCCCCCACCACCACCACCACCACCACCACCACCACCACTACTACTACGACGACGACGACTACTACTACTACTACTACTGCTGCTGCTGCTGCTACAACAACAACAGCAGCAACAACAACAACAACAACAACAACAACTTCTACTACTGCTGCTGCTGCTGCTGCTACTGCAACTACTACTACTACTACTACTATTTACTACTACCTACTACTACTACTACTACTACTACTATTCCGTTCGAGCATAGCCGGTCGAGTCAGCTAGTGCGCAGCTAAGTGGCA